TCTGGGTGTGGGTTTTGTCTCTTGATCCATACCCACACTCATAGCCCTAATCAAGTTAAAACGAAGTGAAAAACTAGGTTCATAGACTTTCGGATAGAGTTAAGGAAGTTGTTTGTAATTCAACTTCCTGTTTCATTGTAAACATGTGATATTCCTAATGAGAAAATAATCTTTTTGAATCTGAAACCGATCGTCGTAATTGAGATTTTGAAAAAAGTCCTCTATTGTTTATGCTTCTTTTAAAAGACAATTACACTGATCAGATTCATCGGCATCGAATATAAGAAAGAGGTCAAACGCTTCTTTATATCCAAAAGAAAGAAAACTGAATTCGTTGACAAGCATATTACAACATGATGTCGATAGACATGAAGTGAGACCGAAATTCATGTAATTTCTTTTGTGGGAAGCATAATTTGTATGCGTTGTTATTTTCTGATATGATGCAATACTCGTAATAAAATCTCTGTGCATAAGAGTGAGCTGAATTGAATTTCAGAAGTCAGAAAATGGAAGAAAATGATGGTTTTTACGTCAAAATGTTGAAAAATCGTCCACAAAGAAAGAAAAAGTTGATTCATGTAAATGCTTTTTCTTTCTTCTTTTTCGTCAAAGTTGATTCATGTAAATGCTTTTTCTTTCTTCTTTTTTGTCAAAGTTGATACCATTACACATACTGTTTTTTGAGTGACTGTTTTTATTTGCGCAACAAAAAACTCATAAGGTGCAGGAGAATGACATGCAATATTGACTGTTATCAGTGACATTTTTATAACCTCCACGAAAAACATAGAAAGTCAATACATAGGTAGCGATGCATTGAAAACGGGTGAAAAATTCTCTCCCTTTGTCCTGCTTTGAATTACATATTATTAAAAATTGTGACAGAAGCAGAGGGACAGCATTGCTATTCAGTCAAGTGCATTAACTATGGCAAACATGAACATTGATCCGCAAAGCAGCATCATATGGGTTGACTCTGATCCAAATATCTACTATAGCACATATTTGCTTCGAGCTCAAAACTGGCATGTGGCATGCTTCAATGAGACGGCTGACGCGCTGAATGCTCTTCATGAGCGACGCTTGCAACCAGAGACGATTCAGTGTGTGATCACAAGTATGATGGAACGTGATGGACGACGAGAGCGAAGACTCCTCAATGGACTTGAAATGTTAGACGCAATGAAAAATATGTGGATACAAACCGAAATGAAGCATTATCCACTTATAGCTGTCAATAGTTTGACAGCCGATGTGCGGCAATGTAAGGACCACGGCGTTGATATTGTCGTCCATGGTAATCGCAATGATTTACAACATCAAGTCATTAATCAACTTAATTCACGTCTCAATAGAAGATATAACGAAAGGTAACAGGAGTTTTCTCAAGTTGTAGCGGCAAGTTTTCACTGTGTATTGAGATCAAACTTTGTGTGATTCGATTCCAAGGGAAAATGTGGAATACATAGATGTCAACTTTTTGATCCTTCATATTCAGATCACTTTTTGAACAACTTAAAGTTCTAATCCAAATTTTGATCGAGAACTGACTAGGATCGGAAGCAGATGCTATGAAAATTTCAGAAAGAGTCATTATTTCAAGATATAAGTAGACTTCTGGTATGGATGGCTTCTCTAATTAAACAATCATCGATGATCAAACATCGTGAAAGACTGATTCATTCTAAAACAACATATTTTCATAGTTCCCCAGTAGCATAATTCAAAAAGTCATAAATGTAGGATGCATTGTGCTCATTTGAGTTTTAAGGAAAATTCTAAACTTCAATATTTTACTCGTTGTCTTAGGGTCATTCTCATTGGCATAGCTGGTCCATCCGGTTGTGGAAAGACTACATACGCAAAACACCTGGCCAGTTATCTCCATTCTCCTTTTTTGCCAATCTCACTGGACAACTTTATTACACAGCCAATCTTTATTGATCATCCTATTCTTGGCAGCATTAAAAGTTTTGAACAACCTGAATCAATAAATATCAATGGTTTTCTAACCTCACTCCGTCAAATCAAAAGTGAATGGAAAAGATCACCACTTGAGCGATCAAACTTTGTTCCAGGGGAAAATGAGCCGATTTATGCAATTGTAGAAGGTTTTCTTCTGTTTGCTTTATCAAACACGATTACATCAATGTTTGATATTCGAATTTTTCTCGCTTCGACACAAGCTCGCTGTCGTATGCAGCGTTTTCGACGAAGGGCTAAAGTGAATCCAAAGGTATCCGATTCGCAAGTGATAATATCTGAAAAGTTTTCTCGATGGTATGATAACCTGGTCTGGATTGAATATTTGAAACGATGCAATTTACAAATGGCAAGTGCAGAAAAAGTGTTCCAACCTGAGGAATATCAAAATATGCATTATGAAAACCTCGACGCCTACATAAGCAGCCGATTGAAAGAAATTATTTAAGATTGTGCATCAAATTTGATCACTTGTTTATTGAGGGCGTACTATTTCGTCCGTGTCTTCTCATTTGCGAACATGAATATGAAATTAAGAAACTGTTAAATTCAATTTCGTTTGTTTTTTTCAATTTAAACTATTCAAATGGAATGCAATTTTAAGTCTCAAATTTTCGGTATTCAAATTCTTAAAACTTTACTCATAACAATTTGAATAAAACTTGTAATTTCAGTTTTACTTTTAGCTAGCTGCAGTTTATAGAGTTCATTAAATATTGAGTTTCAATATTTCTATTTAATGAGCTGTAATTTGTATAGTGCGCTAAACTACAGTTCTTTTCTTTTTCTTCTTAATTAGCTGCAATTTAGAGTTCGCCAGAGACAATTGCTACTATGAATGTCATGAGGTTTTTGAATTTGAATACACCATCTAATTATCATCATAACATGGAATCAAATATCGAATGGACACAAACTAATCGAAATGCAAAAGCGCTTAAGTACAAAAAAAAACGAAATACAAAGAACGACATTCCAAACAAGATCGCTTTGAAATACAGATATCGGTGAGCTTCTTCTTTTCTTCACACACTCCATAATCCACCCATCTTACACTTGCAAAAAAAATTGAATTATCATTGTAAATTATGATAAAACCCACTTTGACAACTCGCTTTGACTTTAATTAACACCCTTCTTAGCTATGCTAAAATTGATGGCCATTGCTCGTTCATTATGAGTATTAGTTTATCAATAGCAAAAGAAAACAATCAGTTAATCAATATCTATCCTAAAAATTTAGTTCTCTTTCACAAAACCCATCTTATATCCAAATGATGATGATTAATTATTTATTTTAAAACTTGAATTACTTTCAAAACATGTTAATATATGCATATAACTTTATCTCATCAAACACTTGATAATGGCTTTTTATAGACAAAACATCATATCATTCTCTGTACCGTGTAAAACTTTCTACAAATCACGTCAAATATATCTCAATCAAAAACTATTTTGATTAAAAGCTTGCATTCTCTATACATTTCACCATATCCTTTGAGATAATCAATCTATATCAAACGAAAACCCATGCCATCAACAAATTGCAGTAACTTTGTTAAAATAAAATAATTTTCTATTCAAATTTTTCTAAACCAACTTCTTTTTTTTCTATACGGGCTGTAAGTGATCAAATCTTTAAAAATTAACTATCTTATTGTAAATTTTCTGTTCAAAATCCATTCATTCTTATTAGCATGACCTTTTTTGTAGAATTTCAGTATGCTTGTTTTTCATCCAAAATTTGAACTATGAATTAAGTGATAAATTAAATGATAGGTCTTGTAAATTACTTGAATATTGTTCCAAACCTTTGTTTTCTATAATCTTATTATTTGCATCGGCATAAAGAGAATCCTGCAATTGAATAATGTCAATCTTCATGATCAATCCATCTTCAGATTTGAGATTGAGTCAAAGCAGAAACGTTGCTTGCTATTTTTGTATGTTATCTATTGAATTTTAATGTTCCGATGCTAAAATTCATAAAAGAAAAGAACTCAAATGCTTTTATAGAACAAAGTATTTTTCATAAATATTTATTGAGTAGCAATATAAATGATCATTTGCAATACGAAGAAAGCGAATGAAAAGTGAATTTCATTTGCTCATAAAAACATCTGTTCTATCATATGTTGAATTAATTAGATAAATAGAGACAAACACAATATAATTCGTCTTCTGCATCATTGACAATTATTAGCAATGGATAATTACTGCAAGTAAATCTCTTAGTGAAGCAGTGGAAGAAAAATATTTTCTAGAGAGCTATCTTGACATTGACATCGTCGAAGAATAAACAGAAGAAAATCTTCTGTCTTTCTCTTTTTTATCCAATACATTTTTTTCCGCTGGTATAATAATGATCCTTAGTCGTTCTTCTTGTTCTGCTCTCAAACATATTTTTTTCTTTTGTTTTAATATTCTTTTTTAGAAACAAATTAATTACAGTAAAGTATAAACAGTTTCACGGTCACTAAGATCTGTGCATTCATCCTTCTACTATTTCTTTTTTTGTACAAGTAAGCATTCTTTTCCGCAGCATTTATTATTTTGTTTTCGATCTTCGTTGTATGTTCTCCATAAACTATAGCATAAATCAAGATAAAATATTTAATATGTATTATATCCCATGAGCTACTCGTCATAGAGCAGAAATGAACTAAGTCATTGTTTCTTTTTTTTTCACTTACTGAGAGTTAGCCATCATTTATTATATCATCATTTCTTACTTTTTTGCGGTTGAGTGGTGTCCGTGAGATTTGTATAGGAACATTTCATATTGATTGAGTGAGACAAGAAATGATGCATTACTCTTACTGTAGGAGACAAAAAAAATGTGTTTTCTTTTTTCAAAGTACTTGCATATTACGAAAGAAAAACGAGAAAATCAAGTACGCAACAAGTTACTAAAACAATCAAGATAGATTTGAGTTGTATTAAGGATATTTTAGATAAAATATTTGATTGATTTCAAATAATTTTATCGGTTGTATCAACAGTTAATAAAAATGAATGTAAAAGAATTTGAAGAGAAGGTCAATTCATCAAGTATCGATCAAATAACACCAGTACTATCTTCAACATCCAATGCTACAACTGGATTAGATTTTTTAAGAATGATTGATGCAATCTATGTTAAACAACTTCCTTCATTGACTGAAGGTAAATTAGTTAAAACAAATCAGTTAATCTGAAGTTTCTCTTTGTTTTGATGCTATAATTCAAGTTCTATTTGGTATTTCATCTGAAGCTAAATTTGATANTCCGTATGAGTAGGTCGCTGTGGACAACAGTGTAGACCGGGCGTCCGGGGTGGGGGGGGGCGGTATACTACGAGAGGGGGTCTTCTAATGTGTCGGTGGCTTTACTTCCTTCTAATGAGTAAACGACAAGAAGGAAAAAGTTGACATTTTCATTGCGTATATTGCTTTGATTGCGATGAGTTTTTTTTTCATGTTGGAAAAATTTTCTTTTCCAAGTGTATTTTGTTGACTGAATAAAACTTCCGCTGTTTTGAGTTTCTATGAAAAGTATATATATCTTTTTTCTTCCATGGAGTTTGAGACATAGTCGACAAGAAAGCAACAAAAACGCCACATTCACATCGAAGAAAGCAATGACAATTAATTGGTTTTTAACAATATTTGCATTAGTGCTTATAAAGCCGTCTGTTCAAGTTTGCACGACTGGCTATTATACGTACCAGAATCAATGTTATCCGTGTTCACCAGGACACTATTGTCCAGACGGAGTCAATGAATACATCTGTCCACCTGGTGAAAGTGCGTCAAGCTGGAAACATGGAAGCTGTAATACATGTTCTTTTGGATATTATTCATCATACGGCGGGTCAATAGAATGTACACGTTGTCCGAAAGGTTATTTTTGTCCAAGACGAGATCAATCGCCAGTTCCTTGTAATGTTGGTGAAGTAGCTGGTGAAGGAAATATACAATGCAGCAAATGTTCACTTGGGTACTATTCAGCGATCACAGGTGGTTCGGAGTGTTTACGTTGTCCTCCAGGTTACCAATGTTCGAGAGTCGATCAGGCACCAGTTCGCTGTCCCATTGGAACCTATTCGACAGGTGGTCAAACCGTATGTAGTGAATGTCAGAGAGGCTATTATACAACATATCTGAATTCTACCCAATGTTATGCCTGCCCTCCTGGTCATTGGTGTGCTGATCCGAAACTTTGCCCAAAACCATGTGCTGCTGGAACATATCAAGCTGATCCAGGATATACTAGCTGCTACAGTTGTAACGGTCGATGTTCAACTATAAATAGACTCTTCGAGTGTACATCATGCATTCAAGCAAAAGCCATCAATTGTACGGAGGGACAAACGGTTCCTATTTATAACTGTTTTATGACCTGAATAAGGGTCAATCAAGCAAGAAATTCTCAACTATGAACATGAATTTTCTAATATTCATTCTGTAATCTTTTTTCATTAATTCAATAAGATATATCCGAGATTTTTTCATATCTAATCAGTGCAATCGAAAGTGTGTTATTCTTCGACGAAACAAAGCAAATTATGACTTTAGAATGTAACTGAGAGAAGTGTACTAATCTATTTCATCATCTCTTGTTATCAGGTATGGCAACTATCGATTGAGACAATCATTTTTTGAACGCTATACAACAGGCATTCTCGTACCGACTATTGAGAAGGATTACAAGAAACAAGAATACGACCACACTGCGCTGATAATGTACACGAAATCTAATGGAAACTAAAAAAAAAAGAATTATGAGTATTTTTGTAACATGATTCAAACGAATACATACAAACTCCCAACGTGTCTGTCGATATCCGTACAGCATGAATCATGTGACATAAGGAGCATAAATATCTGAATAAGGGTACCGTGAAATCAGAATTCATTCAGAGAAGGTAATCGAAAACGAAACATAATCGACTCCCCAGGCGTTCTTGCAAAAAAGTAATCAAGTTTATTGAATGGCATGAATCATCTGCAAAGACAAGCGAAATTTGACTAACATGTATTTTATTACTTAGTTCGTTCTCGCGAAGAGACGATGTTTTTGTACAAGTCTGATACTAGTCTCTAGTTTCATATGCGCAGAGAAAGATCGAGAAGCAATTAAAGAATAAAGCATGTAGGTTGACTGTCAATAGTTGTTTTTTTTTTCAACTTCAAGGAAGAAAAATTGAGACAATTTCATCAACATAGTCAAAATAATCAACTTGCTCGTTTTCTGATGTCCTTATTTCCGTTGTGCTCAAGGATGTGGCTTGATGATACATTACATTGCCAAACGTGGGTTGAATGAATCGTTTACTTGTTTGTATATCAGTTTGTTATTAACATTTTCTAAAACGTTTTTTAACGATGGTTTTATATAGAAAAACATGTTGTGTGTAACTGATTTTTGGCTTTTTACTTTTTTCGATAGATTTGTCGTCTTGGCAGAAGCACAATTTCGGCAACGTTATTATAAATATCCAGTACACACTACTAGTGGCTTTCACAAACAATGATACCTGGATTATAGTGTCTGTAGACACTAGTGTTGGATATAAGAAAATTGACTTGTAGGAACAATCACAATCAGTTTGCGCTATGAAATTGACCATCACTAAAATAGTCGATAGACTCGTGCTCAAAGTATTCACTGTTCATTTTTTGCAATTGACATCAGTTTCTTGTCGTTTTTCGCATTATTTCATTATTTGAAAATAGAATAGACTCGAAGATCTTTGTCACATGAATCTACAAGGGTAATCGATAGTCTGATTAGTATTGGATTTGTTAACTAATAAAGAGAAGCAGATATTATCGAGATATTTCGAATTAAGGAGAAGCCAATTGTTGGTTCGCTTGAAAATCGATTAAAACATTTGAAATCTTGAATAATGTGAAACAGTGAATTTCAAACACGAGTGTGGCTGTGACGGAAGTTCGATGGCTCGGTCTCGCAAAAGTGAGTGATTGTATAATTCACAAAAAATTGAAAATCCTCCGTTAAGTTCCAGCCAAATAGTTTCAAAGACCGTCGAATTCCATACTATCTTTGAGAAAATCTTCACTTCACGTTCATTACATCCCTTAATCTTTGGATCCTAGCGTAGGTCTTGTCAATGGCTTGTTTGAATCACTGCTTCGCATTTTGCCTCTTCATAATACTGTGAAACAATTCTATTGCTCAATCTTATTTAAAATTAACAATTCATAGAACAAACAAAGGTTTTACATAAGCAAACAGCTTGTTGTTGTCCACGTGTGGGATAGATATAGCCTAATTTAGAACGTCAAATACTATTTTGGTATCACTCAAACAAGCTTTCATGTTTGTTTACGTGCTCATTATAACGTGACAAAATAGTTATGTTTGTATCAAGCTTATTTCATATAAGATTTAAGTAAAGCATGGCGGCCAACGCGATTCTAAATCCAGAAAAACAAAAAGAAAATTATTAAATTGACTTTCAGTTCATTCATACTATTCTAGAAAACGATAAAAAGTAGCCGGCATATATGAGCGTTATTAGAACAATGCTATTTGTTAAGTGAAATTTAATAAAAAAAAATCAGTTTTTGTTCAAAAAAACCAAAACAATCGATTTCAGCTGTTTACTCGTTAGATTGAAATGTGGTATAAAATAGTTGATAAATGACAAGTGTTGAATGTTATTCTTGATTAAATAATCATTGTTTTACAATATTTGAAATTTATTACTTATGCTGTATTGGTTTTATTATCATTTACTCTTATTTGTTGGTAAACGAAGTCTTTCTATTAATTCAATAGTTATTGGACGACCGAATGTATTTTTAACAATCTGACGCATATGTGGTAATGCTAACTAGAATGAGAAAAACAAATTAATGAACGATCGTTTTTCAATTCAATTTTTTGAGTGGTTGCATAGGTGGGTGAAGTTCCTCCGTTCACCAATATCCTTATCCTTATTAAAAAAGAATATCAACTATTTAATTTCAATAGTATTTGGATCATTATTCGAAATGTACAGAATGTAATACTTATTCATTTTCAGATAAATTTGAATATCAGATAATATCATTTGAAAATTCAATTTCTCATATGTATGAATTTCGTATACAAAATATGCTGATGAATACTTAACAGTAGTTTACCGTCTCATAATTTCCTATCCTAGATAGATATCTCATGAATTCGACTTCAGAAAAAAAAGTTTTTAACAAATTCTATCTTCACATATACTATTGTCATGCAGTCGACCCAAAAAATGATATAGAAATATTGTATAAAGCTTCAAATTGCATGAACATACTAGCACTTTGCAGTATAATAACCCATAACAGACAAACAAACAAACAAAAAATAATTCGTATTATAATTTCTGGTCGTCTCAGCGTATGTGAAATATTTGTGAAACATGTCACCAAAAAGTAGCTCCACTATTTAAATTCAAATAGTAAAAACGATTTTTGAATTTCGTCGTTCTTTTTACGCTGCTAGAATAAATGAAAAATTACTTTAAAAAATAGAACGATTGATGAATGTGGCTGAGTTGTATACAGTGTTTGAAGTCGTTGAACAAATGTGTCAGGATCTATAGTGTCGTCCTGTATATTAAAAAAGGTTATGTCTTATTTATCTTTTTTGTAAAGTTTTTTTTATACCAAAAGGTCTTGAATACAAGATCGAACTATGGGTAATTTTTCTCGTGATTGTTTTTCAGTTAATTTAAGTAAAGTTAATAAGAATACTCGACATTTTGATATTAAATCATTTATTTGATGTTCTGTATATGTTGTTCTCTGTTGTAATGTGTGTGCTTGACGAACATCTGACTGTTGAATAAATTGAAATGGTATTACAGATGGCTGTTGTTGAATTCCATTGACTGCAACAGGTTCTTAATAAATAAATGAACGAAAATCAAAACTGTTTATTGAAATAAAAAGAATCCTATCGAATACGATGATCCCCCTTGATTTGAAAAACTATCTATACCGTTTCGAAGAGCAGCTCGTATCACATAGAATGGCACAGATAAAATTCCATTTTTATCAATTTCTGACGTTCTAAGAAGCCATTACCAATTAAGATATATTTTAGAAATCGTAAGTAATATGACAGAATATTATGGCTCAGTATATCCCTACATTAGCTTATATAAAATTTGGCTTGAAGTTAATTCAATAAAGTTTTGTCTGATCTTTGCTTGTGTATATCTAATAATTCTCATAACAGTTTTCTTTGTACCTAAAAGCTTAGTATTTTTACTAGTTTCTGTAGTTTTTGACTTTTCTTATGTTTTGATTTCCTGAATACTGCTTCTTAGAGCAAATATTATTACTTTTTCAGCTCTCTTTCAGAAATTATTTGCCATCTATTTCTATGATTAAACCAATTTATTGTTCAATGAACTAAAGTACATCAAAGTCAAATCAACTTGTCACTATCTAAAGAAAAGGACAATTTTTTTATTCTTAAGAACAGAAAATTTTCTGTCTAGTAATAATAGGCTCATCATGCTCTGTTATATCCGGACATACAAAACTTTTAGCTTTCATAGGACAGCGAACAGATCGCATGAGAATATGGGTGCGTAATGCATACCTATACGTGCATGATACAATGAAGATCTTAGATAATGCCGAATGAGTTTACTATGGTCATGAAAAATGAGTAAGTCATCAGAAGTTAAAATTCAGTCTGAACTAATTTTAACCGACTGTCAGAAACTTTCAATAGCTAGTAGTTGTCAGTACACTTTTTCATTACAGAAAAATCAGAAAAAATTTTCTTCTGTTGTAAAAGTTATGTGGATGTGGGCGTATGACTGTGTGGTGATCTTCTCTACGACCACATCTCACATCCTCGTTATGGAACTGCTGTCTTTCTCTGAAAAGAGCTAGTTCATTAATAATATATTACACGGACCGGCTTTCCACTGGTTGTATTCTGTAAGTAAACTGGCTCACTTTTTGTCGATTTAGTTCGATCGCAAAAAAACAGTACCTGTTCCAAGTATAATTGCATCAGCAAATGTCAGATTTGAAGTTATACGTCAAAACCCACTAATGTTATTTGTGTTTTGCAAATCCTACCGTGATAAATAATTGTTGGATCATTTAAATAGATGTGTCCACGTCGTAATAGTCCATTCATGCACAATGGTTTCTACACACCATTACTTTCCTCGAAAACGTCGGCTGCTGTGCCTTGAAAAATTTGAACGATATGTTCATTAGGATTGGCAATATGTTTCAGTAAGTATTTAGTGAATATACTATGTTGACCTGTTTCCAAGATGTCACTAGCTATTTGACTGATAGCACAAGAAAATAGCACAAATGTGCCATCTAGTGGATCAATCACATGAAAACCACTTCCTATACCATCTTAAAGAACAAGCCATTTTAATACTTAAATTCTATGATTTGAGAATATAGTTACCTTCATTTTTTGGGATCTTTCTTGGCCAATATTGCAGGAAAAAATCCAAAACGAAGATGGTCACATGCGACGAATTTTTCTCTGTCAGTTGCTTAAGTACTGTCTCGACTCCAAAAGCATGAGTTTCCACATCTTCTTCCGTTTCTATCTCATCATCATCTACAGGCATCAGATAATTCTCACCTTTAACTTGGTAGGCATGACCAGAAAAGTAGAACATAACTAGGTCACCGCCGACAATCGACTTTCTAAAGCTATTGATAGTGTTAATCATTTGTGCATGAGTTGGATCGTAACCTGTTGTCACTTCGAAACTCATTGTCTTGAGTAATCTACTAAGATCATTAGCATCATTGATGCAATGACGAAGTTTGCTTTCTGGTTGACAATAGTTATTATTACCGATGATAAGTGCTCGTCTGCAACGAGAAGATAAACTCATATTGGAAGTAGCCATTATTTCCTATGATCTACGATAGAAAGAAAAAAAATATCATGCTTCAACACTTATTAACGCTTGTTTATGCATTGAATAAAATTGATGGTAATTTAAAGCGTCAAATAAACTTGATAAGAAAGGAATACCCACATTCATTCACACGTTGGAATGAAATGTATTGAAAAGAAATTTGTTGGCAGTGGGATAATTATTGAAAAAAACGATTTTGAGAAAAACTCGTATGAGATGCTAATCCCACTTCTACAACCGTATCTCTCTCTTAAAAATTCATCTTTTTCATAACAACGAAACACTATATATAGGGTGATAACAAGGATTGGAAAGTTGTTATAAGCGATGAACAAGGAAAAATCCATATGTAGAACACAAAAGAAAGAAGAATAGAAAGAAATGGAAAATTCCAACATATATAGAAGGAAAGAAAAAATCCATGGTGTATGACTAACAATAAGGTTCCAATCACACCGATTTAATTCAAAGTGAATTAACCAATGTAATTGGCATTGCTACGTCGAAACACCAATCATGTTTCTTAATTCACTTTGAATTAAGTCAGTGTGATTGGGACCTAAGAGAAAAGAAGACGAACATAAGTTCATAGGTATAATCCTATAGAAAAGAAGAAAAATCCTTATGATTGCATCTGAAGAAGATGCAGATCATAACAACCCGAAAGAAATTTTTTTGTATTATTACTTAAAATGAAAGTAAAGTATACGTTTATTACATGTCAATAGAAGCACCTATCATTGCATATTAATCAGCCCTCACACACATGACGTACATCACCGTAGATGACGTTACTCGTCATTGTTTTATATTTTTTATGCACCATTGAACAATATAATGTGAACAGGAGATCCATATTCACATCCTTAAATCATCTGGAATCTTAGAAGTTCGATTTCGAGAATCAAAATTATCTTCATAAATTCATATACCAAGAACCTTGAGCGGCATGTTCATATATTTTTCTTAAAAATCAACTTTCTTAGCTTTTTTAATACCATTCTCGATTCCAGCGGAAAATGGAACAGGAAGCAATCGTTCTCGTAGGACACTGACTGATATCCATGTTTACAAACCTATCTCATTTTTTTGTATCAAGAGATGCAGCGAAGTGTTTGACTGTAATAAAACCTGTCGTTGACGCGCTTTAATAGTACTGATTTAGTTTTGGAAGCTTTTCTGTTACTAGTGAGAAAAATGCAAATCTTTCGTCTACAGGACGAAATTCGACAAAACTTCACCGAAAACTCAGCCACTGTGTCTATCAGAATATCAGAAAAAGAGTAAAATGAATGTCATATTCAGAATCAGCTTTCACAGTTGCATTGAATCACATACATTTCATCGAAAAACTTTACCCAAAAGAAATTCATTTGTATTTATTTCTCAGATCACTTTTTTCGAAAAACTTAATCTTTGATCGATCGCTAATAAACTTCTGATGGGCAAACTTTTCCAATGAATTCTATGTGATTCGATGCAATTTTTTTATTTGATTTCGAACATTTCAATAGATAAAAATGACTGAGTGTTCGATCATATGAAAGTGTCAGATTTGTTTCTGATTTACATGTGAAAATGAAATTCTTGAATAAATATTCGAGATTTTGAACGTCTATATTACAAATCGTAATTAGAAATTTTTAGCTTCAATCACGATCATCCGTGATCGTGAATTTGTCGATTGCCCAGTACGCTACATAGCTCACGTAGTCAAATGCTTTCTCGAATGAAATTCTTTCTCGAAGAGGTTATAATAATCATTCCATTATTTTAATCTTTCGCCTAATATGATTCTTCCATTGATTCTATTATTTTTATTTATAAATGATCATAGGTTGTCTTGTGTCTTATATTATCAGTTTCGTTCAAATATTTTTTTTTTTTGGTTTGTATATTATAAAAATGATATTTTCGATATTTGATTTGAAAAAGATACATATAACAAAAATAGAAGTTTACCGATAGTTTTTATTCAATTATCAAATATTAAGTCTTTTTTTTTTCTAACAAGGAGGATATTGTTTTTGTAAATAATCTAATAAACATTTTGTCAGTGTTACATTAGTCGCATAATATGTAGTAACATTTTTACTGTTTAATTGTGTATAATCACGTGCATAATCGATTGTTGCCACATTATAATAAAGACCACTTTTTGATATATCTGTTCCATTATATAACCATGTTTTACCACCATCCAATGTTTCTACTCTAGTATAAGCAAGAAACATTCCATCTCCTTTAAGATATAAACCAGTAGTAAGAACTTGAGCAAGTATTTGACCAGGAACGGAAAGAGCAACCACCATACTAGCAAAAGGTACTGCACGTATTATATCATATTGTGTAATTTTGTCACGAAGAATATCATCAATTCGTGCTGAACCTCCATTAATAACTCCAATAGTTGTTGCATTTTTTTCTGTTAATTGTAGCATACTTTCGCACATTGCTGCAGTTAAAAGTGTTATAAAACTTCTGACTGCTGCAGCTGTACCATCTAGTTCGATACCAGTTGGTAGACATGACACGATCTCATTTGGTTCGTAGCCTAATGCTCGAAATCCGTCCATACCTAAATTAAACCAATACTTTGCAACTGCTGCTGTATTTTCTTCATCTGGCACTTCTGATGTCACTGGTATTAACATACTATAAATACGAAAACGTTTTGTATCCAAATTATAAGCACAACGATGTATATAAACAGTAAAAGCATTAGCATCTGCTTTATAAATTGGTATATATTTTGTTCCTCTTAAATAATGATAATTATCATGTTCATGTCCTCCAATAATAAGATTAATTTGTGGAACACTCAAAGCAAGTTGAATATCTGTTGCAATATCTAAATGAGTAATAGCAACAAGTACATCATATGTTCCATTTGAAAATGATTTTAAAAATTCTTGAACATAATTGACTAATGATGATTGATTGACAATTCGAACATAGTTGCTAGTTCCATCTGTAGTTAAACCAATGAAAAGAATTCGAACAGAATTAATAGTCATTATTTTATAAGAAATACTTGATCCAAATGTTTGATTATTATTAAGATGAAATACATTAGTACTAATCCAAGTAAATGTTGATTCATTCATTCGAGTAAGTAAATCGTTTTCAGATAAATCAAATTCATGATTTCCAAATGTTGCAAAATCAAGTCCAAGAATATTCATTGTTGCAATCATTTGTTTTCCACTTAAACCTGTTCCATTAACTTTTGATAAACCTAAAGCTGATGGAGATAGAAGATCACCACCAAGAACTGTGTAAGTATTTGGATTTTCTTGTTTTAATAATTTTCGTATATAAGCAACACGAGCTAAACCACCTTTTTGTCCTCCATCAAGTGGTAATAACTCATAAACATCATTCATTTGTAAAAAAGTCCATTGAACATATTGACCATCATTAGGTAAAATAATAGGATAACCAATAATTCCATTTCCAAATGTAGAAATATTTGAAGAATTTTTATTATTACGCCATAAATTAGCATAGATAATGGTTAAAACAGTAAGACAAATAATTGCTAAGCCCAAAAATATGTATATGAGACCATGTGGTAGTAATAATGTTTTCAATCGATCAATACTTATACCTGTCATGAGTAAGATTTAATCTAATAACAAAGATCCAGAGAAAAAACTTGAGAATGTCTGTGAGTCTTGTCGTCATTCTCAACCAAATAAATACCTCATCTTCTTTTTGAAATATTTCAGTCAGATCAATTTTTCATCATATTCAAACATTGCTTTTCTTTTGTCTAGCATATACAATAAGTAAAATAATTATTCTGATATCTGTAATATACTTGTTTTGTGAAGCGAATTTCACAAAAGAAGAAACTAAATATTTTCTCAACTATAATTATACTATTCGATAAATCGAAATTTTTACTTTATTTTACGAACAAAAAGTTTTTCAATAAACTACATAATTTCACATGCAAAAATAACAATATTTGAACCTCTGTAATTTTCTTTTTATCACACTTTTATTTTGCATTAAAATATTTTTGAATTGTATCTCATTCGATAGAGAAAAACAATTCTCTACATAATGATGTATATTAGAACAGAAAAATATATTTAATAGAACTTCACAAATTTCAACATATCTAACGCTCTAAGGTTTTACAGAGACTTAAAATACATCATTTCATAGAGAAAAAAAACTGATTCGAATGATGTCCTTGTTGTTTAAAAATCATTAAATAGAATACATACATATAGACTTGTAGAAAATGAAATTCTCTATAAAAATGATATACTTGGTTGCACAACAATTACTTTTGCTGAATATAATAAGAACCTTTATTTTGTGAAGTACAATTTACAGTGGAGAATGAAAAAAAAAATGTTGTTTTCATTCTCTCTCTTTATACATGATGTCTCAAAAGTTCGATCAAAAAAGAAACATGAATATTTCTTTAAACCTTCGAAGCAATTTTATGTGAGCTTTTTATAATTTCATTTCATATAAATTTATCTCTAATAAGTGTAAAGAATGATTACTTATGAATGCAATACATAAACCTATCGTTCTTGTAAATATCTATAAAAACATCATTTTAAAATTATTTTGATCTTATTATTGGTTTTCATTTTCATCTGAACTAAGTCTTTGGCAGATGGCTTGGAAAAAAATAGTCCTTACATGTTCGTATACAAACATTGAATTGTATCTTCTGTTGGACGTGCTTGTTTATAGACTGAGGATGCAATACGGATAAACTTTAATTTTGTGAAACGAAATAAAATCTACTCAGCACAATCTTTCTACTTCGAGGCTAAAGAAAAAGGTTTCAAGATTACTAAAAATCTTTTTCCCATTAATAATATCACGAAAAAATTGTCCAAACATTCGATTTCCTAATATCATACAAGAAACATTTTTTATTTAAGATTACATATTAAGCTCAATACTTTCATGCATTGATGATGTCTGCTAAATATACCATTCAGTCGAAAATGAAAATCAATAATAAGATCGAAATAAATTTTACACAGGATCGGAGATAATATTATTTCAGAAAGGTAATGCTATAGTTTCAAATAGTATCAACAACAAATTTTCTACCAAATTAAAGCGCGTCGAATATATGATTCATCAATACTAAATAGTAAGGGTTATGTCAACTTTTCAGAGTCGAATTCAGGAAATTTCTGAATTTTACGCCATGTCGACATATAAAAATTGTTCTCAAACTATATATCATTCAAAATATTGAATATCATGAAGTACTATTTATTTTTTAAGGTTTGGTGAATATAATCAGTATTCAGTATAGCAATCATGACAACTCTTTACAGCACCGAGACAAGACGCATATTAACATTAAAAAGTTTCTCATAACTCAATGCTTTTTTAAGCTTTTTTCGTGATAACGAATATGTTCTATCTTTGATGGCATCCTTTTTAACTTCATTTTTGATTATTTGTTTTCAGGTGAAGTGTCGATTATTTTGTGATAATTATCATTTTAAATGATATGTAGTTTGACCTGTCTCATGAGAAGAATTTTTATATGTTGACATGGCGTAAAATTCAGAAATTTTCTGAATTCGACTCTGAAAAGTTACCAAAGCCCTTAATATTTAGTATTGATAAATCTCATATTCGACACTCTTTAATTTAGTAGAGAATTTTTTGTTGATGCTATGTGAAAACTATAGCATTACTTCCGTGGGATAATATTATTTCCGACTCTGTATGATGTTCTTATAGATATTTACAAGAACGATAGGTTTATGTATTGCATTCATAAGTAATCATTCTTTACACCTATGGGAGACAAATTTATATGAAATAGAACTAAAATCAATATGGAACAAAGCTATAAAATCCTCACGTCGATCGTATGAATGGTTTAAAGAAGTATTCATGCTTCTTTTTCGATGAAAGTTTTGGGACACCATGCATATGCCAAGCAAGTAAATGAAGGAAAGAAAGATGTATATGTATATGCATATACCAAGCATATAAAGTGATGAAACGAAAAGAAAAGAAATTTTTTTCTTTCTCCGCTGTAAATTGTACTTCAAAAAGGAAAGATTCTTAATGTAGTCAGCAAAAATAATTGTTGTGCAACCAAGCATATCATTTTCTAGAGAGTTTCACAATTCTACAAGTCTTATCGTTAAAAAAGATCTTGAGTTTGATTTCTTATCCTAAAAACCAACATTATCAGAAGATCTATATGAAATACTAATTTTAATTAGCAATTAATATGTCTTCTATTTGATAGTTTTTAGAAACCAAAGACTTAGTTCGATTCAGTCTGTTTTTTTTGTATGGAGTCATATATTTTGAGTTAGGCTTAACTTTATTGAACCTGAAAATCTTAGGTTCTCTGTAAAACTTCTAGAACTTCAAGTATTTTAAAGGTTTTTGTGATTCTATCAATATAGTTTTCGTACATATCAGCATGTAGAGAATATTTATGAATCAAAAAAATATTTTGATGTAAAATAAAGGCGTCATAAAAAGAAAAGAAGAATTATTTTACAAATTGTATTTATGAAATTTGTTCTTGTGTAAGAGACAAAATGCAATATTTCACAAAAAATATCTACTTTTAGAAAAAATTCAAATTTTTCGATCTCTTACCTACAAAATCAAAATTGAATTGAAGTGTCTATTTTGACCTCGTTATTGCCTACCTTTATACAACACATGAAAAATGATTAGTTGAATGAAATTCGAGCAAATTGACATATTTTAGTTTAACGAATCTGTCACAATCAAGTTTCATGATTACTTTTTTATTATGCTAGACCAAGCGTGAATATCAGAAAATCTAATAAGGAAAAATATTTCAATATAAACACCCTTTACCATCGTAGTCGTCATAGACAAATATTACTTATTTTTATTACTTACCTGTGTCTTACACGACTTAACAAAATAAAAATGAATGTGAAGGTATACTGCAACACGATCAGCTAGATGAAGTGTATCGTACACGTGCGCTGAAGAAATTATGCTCACTGAATACAAGCCCTCGAAAGTCATTCAGATTGCACTCCTTACTTCACCCCGATTAAACAATGTTTTTTATTTCGCTTGATGAACAGATAAAACATATGGAATATAGTGAAAATAGATTTCAATCTTGAAACGTTTATTTTGTTTTACTGATTTTTTTTTAAATGCTTGAGTTTTTTTTTTCATTTTTCACTATGATGATTTTTATCAATACTTTTGAATAGTATTCATGGCCTTCAATAAGGAAAATTCGAACAATAAATAAAAGATTTTTTTTCATATTAAAATAATATTTTGAAAAATCAATATTTTAATATTTTTCGAATCACATTTGTTGTTTTTCTCATTTAAACTGTATCTTACTTATCACTTAATGATGACTAATTTGATGAAATGATATTTTTGAACATAGTAGTTTAGTTATCGTATTTTGAATGTATTATGTTTATTATTACTTTGCAAAAGATAAATTTCCTATTGATGAACATAATATGAGATGCAAAATTCTTCAGAAAAATGTTGAAAGTCATTTCTCAACATTAAAAAAATCATATCAATCTAAATTTATTTATGTCTAAAAGGTAGAACACTCAAAATGTCTTCGCAACTCGATTTTAGTAAACTCTGCAATATCGTTTATTTAATACTTAATTTTCATTCTGTGGTCGATTAGAAAATACATTTCTTCCAATATTCATTCCATGGGCTTATCAGTTTATTAAAGAAATGAAATAGAAAAGATAGTGAATCTACAGAGGTTTTGAAAAGTGAATAAAAATTTTCCAAATATGCCTTAAATAGAGGGATATTAGCTCTATTCATCAGTATGTCCTGGTTACTGTCCGTAGTTTTTGGAGTGCTGCCAAACGCTAAATCAAATGTTTCTACTGTTGTCGAGTTTTTTTCCGACAGATCGAAAGGCCGCTCTCGCACACACCACAAATTAGTTAGATAACAGATGTTTTGCTTTATATGGGTGCGGTTTGGGCATTGGTGAAAATAAGAGTTACAGTCATTCCACATCCTAAACTAATCACCAACTATTAATTTCAATATGACATATATGTTTATATCTAAATAAGAAGTGACACATTCAACACTTCGAGAAGTATAGTATTAATCCCTCTGGTATAATCTAAACGCATAATTCAAGTATAAAAAAATGATCGTGATAATCTTTGTTCATGTGCTATGGCCTGTCACATGAAACTTTATGGTCACATTGACTTTAAATTTTGTAAAGAACTTTGTGTACATACTCTTCGAGCTATGGTATAACTGAACAATTTGACTTGTCGCCATTTTAATAAGTTAGAGCTGAATGAATATTAATATAACAGATTGGAAAAGCACATGGTAAAAGTCAAAGATCGATTTCGTACACGTTTAGTAATGCTCAACGAAGCACACACTTGAGTACTGATGACTGAATTAGTGCTTGTATCGTCATTGAACGAGTAGTGAACATTTCGAGAGGAATTAGTTTTAACAAAGCCAAGAGTAAGCAAATTGCTAAATAGATAGTTTTGGCTGTTTTTTCTTTTCACTGTCTGCACACATATACATATTTCGATTCGCCGTTATCTAATTGATGACGAAGAAGAATCACGCACATGATGTATAATCAAATACTCGTTATCATTGCAAACTTTTGAGTAGGCTCTGAATGTTGTTCATCTTTGTGTTTCATTCACAATCAATTGTATTTCAGCATTCATCATAATCATCATTGTAGCTCGTACTTGTTCAAAAGCTCAGAAAAGACAATCCTCCAAGCAACTTCTACATAAACAGTTTCAACATCACAAACATCTGCTAATTTTACCATTGATTCTTATTCTGTTGACTCTACCTCGTCTGATTATTTCATTTTTGTTCGGATGTATGAAATCATCTTGCAATGATTGGTTCTATCTAACTGGTTATTCTATTTCGTTCGTTTTATCGATGCTGACCTTCGTCATATTTGTTCTACTATCGAAAATGTACACAAAAAGAAAAATACCAAGAATCAATTAAACGATTCAAGCGAGAGTAACCTGATATTATTTTTTATCAATGTTGTACCCAACACTTATTTGTGAAACATTGATTTGTTATGCCACTCATCTGTGACTTCATAACGGAGGTGAACACAGGTCAAATTTTCCCACCCTGTCCTGTGCTCAGTTTTGCAATGAACGTCCATTATATCTTTGATAAATCCCAAAATGAAATCATGCTAAAGCAAAAGAAGAAATTAGTCAGATTATGACGGCGTCAATGACAATCGTCAAATGTTGTTTCTCTGTTGATTTTTTTGATCATCATCTATTATTTCTGGTTTCAGACTTCTTTTCAATTAATGTTAAAATCGTAAAAAAAAAAGAATCAGATCAAAGACAGGACAGAACAACAGGATCGTTCTGTCCTGTGCTGAGCTGTCTTAAGGCGGCTTAAGAGACCTGTTCTTTTTTTTAAATAGATTTTATTGTGGAAATTATTTTTTCTCCATTGAAAATCATGTCAATGAATAGAGCTCATTGCACTCGTTCAACTAATATGCACGTGTTATAATTTTGATGTTGGAAAAGTGAACACTTTTATATGAAGAACAGAAGAATCTTGCTCTGGATGTATTGACAAATCGGGTGTTTTCACTAAAAAAAACACGTCGCATAATTCGAGATGACAGTTAAATTTGCTGATTTTTATTGAGAACATAGAATGCAGTGAGAACTATCTACTGATGAAGAAAAAAATTGTATCTTTTGTTTTTGCTTCACAAATCAAGAAATAATATATAGACAATAACTATGTGGATAAAGTTAGTTGAAAAACAAATTATGTCTGTTAATAAAAATGAACTTTTGATGTCATGAATAAATGTAATAAATCAAAAGAACACCAGTATATTATATCTCCAGATGTTAATATTGTTCTTAGATAAAAAAAAAAGAATTTATACACTTCGGACGTTTTTTACAATCAGTCAAATAGAAATAATCATGATTATCAAAGAAAAAAGTGTAGTATATTCTATTCATTACTAAAATAAAATTTTTCTTTAAAGAATTATTCAAATTAAAAAAAACACAACATACTGTTAAAATTCATCTTGTCTTCAATATTCCGAACTGTTATATCTTCAGAAAAATTATTCTCCTTTTTATTGGTAAATGGAACATTTTAGATAATTAGATACATTTTTCTTTGATTTTTTACATAAATCGTTCTAGTTCACAATACTTCAAAACAAAAACATTGATGAGAAACAATCCAGAATTAGCAGCAGTACTTGGAATAGTTGTTTGGCTTATTTTAATTGCATGCATTCTTTATTGTCGTCTTTATCGCTCTATTTCTCAACTAGAACATACAAGAGCACGTATTTTTCGTCAAAATGAAAATACTTGTGTTGCTGTTGTTCAAAGGCAACCTCTTGACATCTGCCATATAACTGATATTCCACTGATTAATATGCCTCTTGTTCAAGAATCAGCACCTCCATCTTATAATCAAGCAATTGCAATGAAACAACAAGAAAATGAAACATTATAAATTTTGGGCACATGTTTTTTATCAAGATAAAAATGTTATATATTTGATTAGACTGTATTTTTGAATAAAATAAAGAACTTTATTGAACTTTAGTTGATTTTAATGGTAAAAGTACTTAGAGAATATTGTTATTAATGGGTTAAAAAGCGCAGTGTTTATGTCAACCATCGTAAGTTTTCTTTATCATTATGATGCGAGCTCGAAATAGGCCACGACATTGGAGTGGGGACTGTTTTTTCAGAGACAGGATGATATAAATTTGTTGTGACAGTTGGATTAGGTAGTATGATACCTGGTCCTTAGTTTTCTCTACTAGAGACGAAGCGAAAAAGAAGAAAAATTAAGATCAATTTGGGTGAATCGGACAGAGAAAAAATCGTCGCGTTTTAAGCTCTGATTGGAATAAAAAATTTTGGAAGAAGCGAATCACATTTGAGATTGAGTCTATCAAGAGTGGCTCTCAAGAGAGAATCATTTAGAAAGGTGACGAAAATATCTCCTTCGTTCGACAAGAGGCTCTTTTTAGAAGCTCATTTTCCAATTTTTATGTCTGACATATTCCAAAGAATATTGATATCAATACCAAGCGAGTTTTTTGATCGGAGAGAAGAGAAAACATAGCATGAATAGTCAATATTAGCCACGAGACTTGTGTTGCTCTAAGTGGTAAATAAGAGAAGTAACAATGAGTATTAGTAATATCATTTCAAGCCACTGCTTACCGTCTTGTTTTTTCGTAATTTCACTTGCAGATCTTTCTTTTGACCTTCTCGTCACTATTCTCACACGAAAAAGATCGTAAAGTATACGACATCAATCAGACTTTTCTGTGAAGTTTTTCGCCTTGTGAATGATTTAGTGACCTTCACACATCAGCATATACTGGTGTTTTCGTCAAGACAGTAATCGAATAATATTTAACCTCAATCACTACAGAAGATGGACATGTATCTAATGCTTCTCGTTCATGTAAGCACCATTATTTTCGTAGCGTAGTTGTATTTGATTTCGAAAATATGGAAAAAAAAAACTTTTGATTATCGTTCAGTGAAACGATTCAAGACAACTTGACAAGAAAGTAAGATTTTCTTCTGCCTTATATAAATATCAATATGTTATCTGAATCTATAGAATAAAGGTTTTTATTCCACATTTGAATGTCTCTCAGCGAAACTGATTCTCAATCTTTTCGAATATTTTAATATAAAAGAAATTTTCCAATCTTACTTCATTCATCACATCGTGTATATTCGATCGATGTCAACAACTTCATCTACATCTTGATCGTCAAATACCCTCTCTTTCTGGCAGCTATTCTCACGATCAAGTCATCTCATTTCACATTGAACATGTTATTATTCCAATTAGCACATTTCTTAATCTTACATCGCTTTCTATCGTCTATAGAAATAAGCTAGAAAACGAATATCTCACTATAGTCAATAATATCAGACAAAGTTTTAATAAGTATTGCTGAGACCTAGAAATCCAAATAAAAAAAAACGAGCTACCATATACAAGTTAACAAGTTTTCGAAATCATGTAGAATTTTAGAGGAAAAAATGCTCTGTTCAATTGCGATATTTTAATTTAATACCATCAAACCAGATTTAGAAAGCTCTAAGAGTGGTTCTCTGCACTTTTTCTGAAAATAAAAATGTCGAATGGTAGCAATGTTGAAAACGACAGTGTATGAAAGTAGGAATCTCCCTCATCCTCAATCTTACATCTTCACATTCTCCTCCATTTTTGTTTTCGATATTTTTACTTGCGTCCAGAGTACAGATTATCCTAAGAATACAAATAAGTAAATTTTTATTTCTTACAAAATAAAAACACAAAAGTGATAAAATAGATAATAAGAGAAACTGTTGAAGTAAAGCTAATCTAGTATTTTCCTTTGATGTCGAAAACAGTAAGATTCGAGAAAAAGAAACACTTGCTGAGATATACAATGTTATGCTATGTAGTGTCTAACCAGATAGAGTATCTTGTATTGTTGATTACTGCGTTTAATTAGATTTTCAAACTGTCTCAACTAATCAATTTCAGAATGTCACTAGTCGGTTCCAAACTGACCTCGATCGGTCATAAAATTGTCGAAGCTGTTTTATGTCATTTTTCTCTTCAACGAATCATTCTGTTGAAAAGCCTGATATCACATTATGATTCATGACACAGAGTTTTACCAGTCAAGTTGGTATTCCCTTCAGTTAAACTGGTTTATGTGACCTTGGATTTTCATGATGTAAAAATTGATCATGTTCGGTTATCTTGATCTTGATTTCAATAATTGAAGGTTGTAATCGCTAGTCGAATTCTTATTTGCTCTGTCTTTGTTAATTACACTAAAAATTATAGATTTTTGTTGTTGTGGATAAACTTCTCGCAGGCTATATATCAACATTTGGGATCAAATGTTACAAAACTTGGAAGCACTACAGCGGGTCGCTATCGACAGCCACATTGGTATACCGATGAGGTTGAGACAAAAGACTGTTAAAACGTTCAACAAACTTGCAGCGCAAAAAAATTCAAACATGCAAACGAATAAATCTGACAGTTGAACCAATAACTAAAGAACCAGGCTTGGGATATGTCTAGCTTAGTGCTTCGCTTAACATGGATTAGACTATTGACGAAGATATAAGAAAAATTATGCGAAAAATAAATTCACGGATATTTATTCTAGTTTTTTTATTTTCATATTATAGAACGGCAGAACAAATATGATAAGAATTATTCTGAAGAAATATTGATATTTTCTAAAAATTATTACAATTGATAAACAAAATAGACAACAGATTTGACATACATTTCACTGAGTGAGAAAACACAGTTCAGAAACTGTTTGAACTCTTTATTCTACAGAAAATATTCAATAACCCCTTTTGATTATCATTACTGTATCGATAAACCATATTGTGGGTAGATGTATGGAGTGATGTGTCGTCTCTTCACCAATCAAGTCATACAATGGAATAATTCATGTTTTGACAAGAAATTTTATTGAAGTCTATTATTATCAGTGATAATGTGCCGCTGATCTAAGAACTTGTATTGCGTCAAGTCATGCAAATAAAAGTTCGATGATCTTCACCAGTAGACTATATATTGTTGTCAACAATCACCAATTGAATTGCAAAAAAAAAAAATTATCAATGCAAACGGTAATATTAATACAAGGTTTAATGATCCAAGATAAGAAATGGTCTTGGTGGACAACAACTTAATGAAAAAAGGCGAAGGTTATGCCCATGTTTTATTCAGAAATGGAATTCTGTTGTCTTCTACTATAATTGATGACAATTCAGATAACACGTATACTACTCATCGTATCGCCTTAGTTCCATTTCGAACCTTGGACTTCTCTAATGACAGAATGAAGGTGTGGATGTGCGTGAAGAGTAGACACATGCATCTGATTCACGCCAGTTATGAAGAAAAATTTTCTGTAGGTAATAGACAATAAAACAAGGCCTCGCTTTCATAGTAGTGTGTCATACAATTATCAAAACCTGTGAACCTGAAAATCTGTCGGGATTCTATTAAGATAAACGAAAATAGAAAGAATCTTCGACTTAAACCGTACAACAGCCATAAACGGTTAATGATGAAGCTAAACAATGTAAACAAGACGTGAGCAAGTACCAATATTGTAGTAGTGAACATTAAAAACAGATAGAGTCCTACGTTAACAATTTCATTTTCTATCCTTTCAGTTTGATAGTAATTGTCTTCAATTTACCTTTTCTGCCTATTATATACATTAAAACGAAGGATGTCTACCATGTGTGCTAATGCAATAACCATGAAAAGTAGAATCATATACTAATAAGACCAAAAATTAAAATAAATAAGTGCCAATCAAGCATAACGTACATTTCACACGAGAATCAAATCATTTTTTTATATTCATATATATCAAATATCATAAGAAACAGGATTAAGAGAAACTCGTTGGTCCGTGAAGTACAAAGTATTCAATAAACAGGTATGTAATAATTATTTTAATTAAAAGACACAAAAAAGAAAGCCACTTTTACAGATTTCAAACATTGAAATGAAAAACAGAAAATATTGCAAAAAAAAACCATTTGATAAAAATAGCTAATATTTTCTAAATGATTACAAACATAATTATACATTTCTTGTTGTTATTTAGTGTAAAAATTATAGTATAGATTATAATGAGAGCATAGTTTATACATCACTTATTAATTGTAAATCTCCTTTGAATTTTGATTTCTATTTCAAAAAACTTAACTTGCCGCTGTTTTTCTCTTCTTTTTAATTTATTAATGTGTCCATCTTAGAAAAATCATCAAGTATATTTTATATGAAAACTATACCTCGATCGAATTTTTTTTTGTTCTAATTTAGAAAACATACCGAAAGTTTTAGCTACAACAAATATTTTCTTCTTAAAATAACATATTCTCAAGCAATGTGCATAGTTTAGCAGAGACTCAGAAAAAATCAAATTTTCTTGTAAATTTATTATCACCGGAAGAAAATATTCATCCAAGTTGAGATTGACAGTGTATGATAGAAAGTCATGAGACCTCTCTATGAGAAAAATTTCAGATCAAAATTTCAACATGGTTTTCTTCGTAACGTACTATGCAATAAGTCAAAAACTCCGAAAATAGATACAACTTAGGAAGAAAGCAACAACAAGATAAATCGTTATAGACTTTGCTGGTGAATGTGTTAACCTTAATACGAATATACAAATGAAAATATACATTTAATCCTTTAATGACTTAGTTCTTCAGTAGTCAATATTATTATATGGAGAGTTTCGTCTTTTAATCAGATTTTAGTCTTAAGTTATCTAATAATTTTATGTTTCTTCAATTTCTTTTCGCATTAGATTGAAATAAATTTTATGAATACTAAATTTTCATCAGTCAACCAAGTTCATCGTGATAAATTCACTATAATATCAAAGATATCTCATGAAATAACTCAATTGGATAATATTGTTATTCGAAAAAACTTCAAAATAATCTTCAAACGATGGTATGCATTTTTATTAACAATATTAATCGTACTCAGATCAAAACGTTTTCTTTAATAACAAAAGGTTTTTCTCGTGCATAAACCAATCTTCCATGCCTGTTCGTTTATTTGGAATATTTACTAGCATAGCAATTATTGTTGGCGTACTGACAGTTTGTTTTACTTCACCCAAACCAAGTATGTTTCTCATTTTTTATTTTGATAAATTATATGATTATTGAAATGTCGATTAAGTTTGAAAAAAAAAAAGATTCTTCATCTCAAATATATTGATTATAAATGAAAATCATCATTGGGTTTTATTCTCAAAACATCATAAATGACCTTGAACAATTTAAGAAGGTTTTTTTAGAAAATCCGTTTTCTTGCAAAAAATCAAAGTTGAGTTACTCTTATCGGGAGATGCAGCGAAAATTACTTCTCTCAGAATATACATGACTATTCAAAGAAGACGCTGAAATCTCAGCAAATTTCATTTGAAAGAAACTTCAATATTACTACTGTTTTCCGAGAAATTTTCCCGGTTTTTAAAGTTTTTAGTCATGAGAATATTGTATGTTTTATTTGTATCAGCATTGAATAGACATTCTATCGTTCATGTAAGTCCGTGCATTTGGGTGCGTCACGCGCACCACCATAATGCATTAGTGTAATGGTGTATCCTTTTTAAATTCCGGTTAGTCTATATTCCGATTGACTAATTTTTTGATTCAACTCTCGTATGATGAATTAGAAGATTGAGACGTGAAATTTTTCCGACTAGAGTCCCTTAAAATGTAATGTCTTGACTGTAAACGAAATAATTCCAACGTGCCAACAATTGTCTTTTTTTCTACAACAAAACTATTACTTTTTTTTTATTTCTGTTATACTTTTTGTTTTTAATCTTTCACTTTGCTACACATGTGCTACTCTTACATCTTCTAAGCTCGGTTTGTTGCATTAAAATGAATGGAGTTAATGTTTATTTCAATATCTTCGATTACTGTTCCGCGTCTAAATTTTCCCTTTGCTTTTGTGAGGACGCAACTGGATACTCCTACATGATGCACACACCCTTATTCTCACTCTGCGTTGTACGCATGTAGTAGAAAAAACAAATTTTGATGCAAAAGCATGGAATATATGCAAAAAACGATATTTCAATTTTTTATCACAACAAATTGACCATGTTAAATAGAAATTCAGCTAGCTTTTAATAAAAACAATCGAAAAAAGGGAAAAAACTCAATGGATGCGAACATGTTCGAAATAACTGTGATGAATAAAAGATAACTAGATTAGTTAGTTATTGAAAAACGTTGCCGGTTGACAAGAAAAGAAAAAACAACCACCATCTAATACACTCAACAATTTCAGGAGAACGGTTTTCTTCTCGCTTATACTGACTGGTTGAATTTTAAACTAATATGCTGATTTATCACATTTAGTATGCGTACTGCCCGTGTCGCGTAATATACATCGAATTGCGCTAGCACTACGTGTGCTGTAGGTGACGCACCGGTTAATATGGTGTAACTTATGTGGAATACATGACGCTCGTTCACATCATCTCTGAGCTGCTACTGAAAATTCCACTTAAATATATTATACATATGTCATTTTAATAGTTTTTTTCTGCTGAATCTCAATAAACTCATCTGTATCAAAATGTATTTATTGTTTTTCTTAGAACATGATTTTCAATTAGAAAAACTGAAACTCTCCTCATTCGGTTCAAGATATAACCAAAATTATTTTCGCTTTAAAGGTCTAAATAAGCGTGAACTTTTGTTCGAACAGAATTTTTGTAGTTTATTGCTGCATTGAGAACAACGAGTCACCTTTTTTCTTGTCTATTTTAAGATTATATGTACTATAATGATCATAAAAAAATGAGCGTAAATGAATTTTAAAAATTCTATTTGGAAAAAAACTGCTCACAAATATTGCTTTTAATTTGAAATAACTCCAAGCACTGTATCCCATCGAGCCATGAAGTTATAGATCCTCTCCTAAAGGTCATACATGAACTATAAATAAGCCAGAAGTTCGGTCTAGCTTGACGCATGAGGTAGACATCTTTATCAGAAACATCTTATGTCGTCAAGTTTTCATCAAACTTAACGGTTAACAACAGTGTATAAAAGCACAGACGATTCGAACGGTTACTTTTTTATATCAACCTTTTTATGTATACCTATCAAATTAATATTCTCTGTCTTGACCAAATTGATTGCTACTGATAAGCCACTTTCAATATGTCACGGTATATTTTGTCAGATGTCAGCACACTTTTTCCTATTGGTGCAGTTTTCTAACTGATGGCTGTTTTTGTGGCCTCATCTTTACTAAATAATCAAACTGGAAAACTAAGTAAAACAGCCTATGTGGCTAAATCAGGCGTCACGAGCAAGCTTACATTAGAACGACAATGCGATTTCGACTGACATTTAACATTTTTCTAAGAAGATGTTCAAAAATAAAGTAGAACAACCGCGTTCAGTCGACAATTTTCGAGCAGTTCGTAAAACAAGGCCTTTTCTCAATAGGATAACTCATTTCTGAAAGATTCAGTTCATGTAGACAATCATTCTTACTGGTAAATCTGTTGTGAGGAAATGGGGACTTAAAATATCAGAACACTTTTTGTGTACCTCTCATTGACTCTCAACTGGAATCATCTATTCGTTCAAATGAAAGATCGAAATGATCATAGAATTAATTCTACTCTATATACTAGCATCGATATCGTTTATGTTATTTATCTTCATCTAACTTTTTCATTAATGAAATAAGATAATTAACAAACAGATGAAGATTTGATCATTTATGTTTAATTCACTAAAAATTGTGTATTTTTAGAGAAAACATGTGAATTTACTTTTAAACGACTGATGAAAAGTTCAATTGTCTCCAGTTCACAACCACGATCTGTCGCTGTCGGCGATTTTAATAATGATCATCAAATGGATATTGTTGTAGCCAATTCTGGTACAAATACTATTGGCATATTTCTTTCACAAGACAGTGAAAATTTTACAAATCAACAAATATATCCAACTGGATTCGACTCTCGTCCTTATTCACTTGTTGTTAATGATTTCAATAATGATAATTATTTAGATATTGCTGTGGCTAATTATGGTACCAATAATATTGGAGTATTTTTAGGAAATCAAAATGGAACATTTTCTAATCAAATAATATTTTCACTTTATTCTTCTCATCCATGTTTTATTACTGTTGGTGATTTCAATAATGATAATCAAACGGATATTGTTGTAGCTAACCATGATACTAATAATATTGGTATTCTTCTTGGAAATGGTAATGGATCTTTTCAAGAGCAAATAACTTATTCTACTGGTTATGATTCTCATCCATATGCATTAGTGATTGGTGATTTCAATAAAGATAATCGATCAGATATTGCTGTGGCTAATTATGGTACAGATAATATTGGTATTTTTCTTGGGTACGGTAATGGAACATTTGCAAACCAAAAAATATATACAACTACTCTGAACTCGAATCCATCTTCTATTGCTGTTGGAGACTTAAATAATGATAATTATCTCGATATAATAGNNNNGCAAATTTCTACCCTTTACACTTTAGCATTTCTTTTACATGATGTTTCACAAAATGTTGTCAGTCTAGAAAACCAGCATGCATATTAGAAATCAGCATGGCTGATAACTTTTAATCAATATCTTTTGTTAAACACACCACTAGTCATTTGAAATAGAGATTAGAATAACTAAACATGATAACATCGAAATCAATTGATATCAGCTGCCCTCTGTTGGTTTCTTTTTCCTTAACTATGATATTGTTTGTTCTTCTTCTATGGATATGAATATCGTCACACGAAATGAACAAAGACAGAATTGCTATGAATATGTTGTTCATATAGAAAGAAACGCATGTAAATCAATATAACATATTCTTTTGTTTGCATGTTTTTTTTTATCTTTCAGATCAATATCTACAAATGGATACAATTGTCGAAGTACATCCCGTAGCACGAACAACTCAAAAACATACAAATAAAAAATCTCATGAAAAAATCGATATGAATCGTATAGATTATATAACAAATATATTTACTGAAGTTAAATCTCAATTACATGCTCGTCTTGTAACAAGTGTCCTTGATATTGTAAAAAAAAATGATAAATTTCGTCGCATAACAAATCGATGTTTTGAACATATTCCAATAATGGCTTTATGTATGGGTAAATATTTAATTCAATATTTATTATATCACAAAAAAAACATAATATTATTTTTTATGATAAAAAATTTAGATTCGAATATATCTGAACATACACATTTATTTGATGAACTTTATGAACAATTATCTTCAAAATTTAATTCTATTGTTATAAAATTACAAAATATCGAACAATGTTCATCTATTCATAATATGCTTAAAGCAACAAATATTGAATTAAATAAAGTAAAATTTATGTTGATTTTATAAATGATATAATAAAATTATTCTTTTTTTTCTTTAGTTTTATGCAGAAAAAGATAATGAAAATAAAAATATTTATTTTCAATTAAGTAAATTTATTACAAATTATAATCAGGTTAAATTGTTCTTTTTTTAAATTTCAAAATCGATTTATATTTATTGATTTCAGTTAAAAGAAAATGAGAAACGTTCATTGATTTTTATTATGCCAGAATTTGAATCAATTAATATATCAATATTTGAAAATTTTATTACTTTACTTAGGTATGATGAATAAAGTTTGAAGAGAAGAAAAACAAAAATTTCTATTCAATTTAGCTTACAAATAAAATCAATATCAATATCATTTGTACTTGGTTTATCAGGTGGTGATCATTCATTACAACGACTTGCATCAAGTCGTATTGCATCAAAATTATCTATTGATACAATTTATGATTCTAGTGCAAGAAAATATTATGAATATATTATTAAATCAGTATGCTTATTTTTCTTTTTGAAAAGAATATGAAATAAATAAAAAAAAAAAGAAAGTTTTCTTCTTTTTCATTTTAGTTATTTCTTTCAGAAAGTAATAGTGATAAACAATTTACAATAACAGCTGAACAACTTCATTTTATTGATAATGGTTATTTTGAAACGTTTTCATTAGCATGGCTTGAACATGCTCTTAAAGTTAGTAGAATTTCTTGAACTAACAGATGCGTCGAAAGTTTGTAAATATAATTTGCCTATATTTTATTCGATTGATTAAGGATACAACGAATTCCACATGAAATTCTTATCATAGATAAAGCACCTAAAATAAGAAGACAGATGTTCGAGGAAAAAAATTTAAACAAAATTTTTCGAGAAACCCTGGTTTTATGTATCGGACGTGCTTGTGATCCGCTGTTTAACTTTGTCCGAACGGACTGGGATTTATAGAGTCTTGAATGGCAGTACTTCGGTTTTCGATCCGAACTTTTACGTATTTCTTTCATAAAGAAAAGAAAATAAGATTTTTGAAAAAACTTAAAATTATCTCTGACGAGGGGATGTCTTCAACTAATCGATCGTTTTTGAATTCGAACTCTATGCATAAGGTAGAGTCCAATGAGATATAAATGGTATATACCAACAAATCGAATAAGGCTATTTCGTGTCCATAGACAAATTTATTTCTCAGTAAAATGTTTGAAAATTTTCACCTGGAAAGAATTTTTCCTTCCCGAGATATTGAAGTCTCAAAAATCACTCCTGTTTCACGAAAAATACTAGAATTTTCTTTTTTTCAAACTTCAATATCTCGAGAACAAGAATATTCCTTTGGGCTGAAAGTTTCACAGTATTCTACTGACAAATACACCTGTCTGTTGGTAAAACATCATCATTCGATTTGTTGGTACATACAATGGTTAAAGCTAAAATTTCTAGTAAAATGTCTAGAACTATGAATAGCAGACCTAGGAAGATTTTAAAAAACCGGTCCATTGTGAAAATGAACTAAATAAATACTTATTTTAGTTTATTGCCTTTTCTGAAACAAATTGTCAAAAAACTAATCAACTTAACATTTGTCTATTCAATGCTATATATGTCTCTTGTAATCAATTACCAAATTATCCACTTGGTCGTTATCGTTCATCATTTTATGCATCGTATCTATCGAATACTCCTATTTTTAATGAATTAACATTATCAATAAATTCATCTACACTTCATCAACTTGATACATGTCTTAATTCATTTATTGAACATAAATGTAATGAGAATTCTTTGTGTATAAAATATTGTCAATTAGCTAAAAAGATTTTTATTGAACAACAACAATCTATTGTTGATGATACACAATCATTAAGTAATACATTACGTTCAATTGGTGATAGAAAATTAAATCGATATCGTGAACAAGTTTTTCTATGGCTTAAACAAATTTGTGAAACATTTATATTATCAATAATAAATACATCAACTAAAATAAATGAAAATTTTTTACATGAAAGATTAATACCTATGACACGTGGAATATTTATTCGAGAATTAACAGATATTTTACATTGGAAACGAGAACAAACACCTGATTTAGCATTACTTTATCGTATTTATTCTGAATCTGGTACTAAGATTCCGCTTAGTGATTGGTTTGATGTATGATTTATTGATATTAATTAAAGAAAATATTTTATTTTATTTTATTTTTCTCTAGTCATTTGCAGTATTATTAGAAGAACAAGAAATAATTGTTAATGATAAAGATAAATCAATATTGTAAGATTTCTAAAAAATTTCTCATAGAAAAATTAAAATTTTTCTTTTTCAATTTTCTAGAGCACGTTTTATTCATGGTTTAGCTGAACTTGATTATCTTGGTTTTACAAAAACATCATTACAACGTTCATATCATGCGACAAAATTAACTTGGGATAATTAAAAAAGATATTTTTTGTTAACTCTATTTTTTTTTTTGACTTCTTCTTTTGTTGATAAATAATATACAATTGATGTACTTTTTTGCAAAAAAATAAAAATAAATATAGTAGATCTTATTATTTTTCTAATTCAGTTAATAAATAGTATGGATAGATTATTAAAAGAAAGATCTGTTTTTCTTTCTGATCTTCAACGAAATTGCTATATCTTACTCAAAGAAAAACAACGTTGCAGTGAACTCGTCATTGTCTCGTTTTGTAGAGAATGGTTTATTCTATCGATCTATGTAGTCTAAGAAAAATTATATTTACGGACTTTGTGTTAAAAACCTAGAATTTTGATTTTCGGAAGCTCCTATCTTTGTGAATTTGATAATAATTTTTATTTTTTTATATTATTCTTGAAAACTATCTTCTCTATTTGAATCAATGTTTCGATTCATTCTAACGCTTGTAATTGAAGGAATTATACTTTTGAAAGAATTCACATCGGCGTTAAAATCAAAAACAAATTAATACAATAAAACTACTCGACAGCAAAAACACACTGTAGTCCTATGTAATGATTTTTTTAATAGCTGCTAAGTTCATTGGCTTCTAGGAATGCAACAAATAGAAGGCATTAGAATTCTGTATTTTTTTATTTGAATTTCGACAAAAATAATAAAAATAGTTTGCGTTTCAATAACAGTTACCAAATTTCAAATTATTTATATAGATTTGGTCTTAAATCAAACTCAAATAAAACTCCAAATCTATGGTAGCTTTGGTACATCCATATTGGAATTGATTCTTCAATTCTTGTCTTCAACTTCTAAGATGTGAATCAACAGTTAATACGGCTTGGTTGAGGCTGATGGAAAAAAAGATGATATTATGTCTTTAGAGGAACGTGTGTCAATTGTCACATAATCATTAAAAACAATGAGAAGTCTTTATTTTTTCGTACGTAAATTTCTAAATGAAACCGAAAATTTAGGCAATTAGTCCTAAATTAGTCTTTTTCGTATTATATTCCGAGAAAATAGACTACTCCAATTATAGTTAGTTATTGCATAATTGGATAATGAATTCTGCCTATCTGATGAAAAAAAAAAAACGAAGAGAGAAAAATCAATATTTTGCTCAACAGTGTGGATACATTTATTTGGTCAATAATACGAAAGGATGAAAAAGTAATTCTGACAGTGAGTGTTATCTTCAATGTCACCCTCAGTATCATTCTTATTCAGATCATGATCATTGATTACTAGTGAACTAAAAAGTTGTTGTTTTTTTTTCAATAAAATAATTTGAATGAAATCGCTACGATTTTCTCTATTTCTAAATTAGATCGTTTCTGTACTGTTTGAATTCATTTAACAGTCATATCTATACATTCATGTCTCCGATCCTCAATAACAATTAGCTAATATTATATTAATGATTACTTTAACAACTACTAATTTCTAACGTTACTTTCAATGATAAAAATACCAAATGATCATTGATAAAGTGTTCTGACCGATTAGGTAACTCGGTGCAGTTTTACATATATCTAGAAGGTCGTATGTGTATTTTTAAAAAATTCTGGCTTGTGAAAACATTTCACCTCTCTATAATGGACACTTTCGAAAAGTCTGAAGAGTATTTTCTATAGTGAAATTTTACTTTATCTTGAAAATGGTAACAAATAATCAAAAGAGGAGATTTCTAAATGTGTGTTTTTTTTTTAAATATTAAATCATATGATAAAATACGGGTTAATTGTTTGTA